TTTTCTCTCAATAAATATCAAATCAATCACCTATTTTTTATTTATTATATTACACTAAAATTAAATTTTACATTCAAAATATCACATTAATATATATTTATATCACATCAAATAACTATTTTAATTCAAGATTTTACTATTTAAAACCAAAATTTTTCAAAGTCAACACAAATTATCTTTAATGGAATGAGCATGTTGAGTTGTATAAAGAAAAGATAAGTGATAGTATGACATTATCATCTTTCATAAGAAATTCATTGAAAGAGACAAAATACTGCTATGCAATTTTAGGTTCCATATTTTTCTAAGGAAATATAAGTTCCATAGGACTAGCTAAGTAATTGTGGGTTTGATTGATCAAACATAAGTGATATTGGAATTATGAATTTGTAGCATAATCAATAGTGTTTTCTAATAATTTTGAAATACTCCCTCCGTCCCATAATTATATATCCGTTTGCTTTTTACACGAAATTTTAGAAATATTAGTATTATATTGGGATGTAGTAGGAATAAAGTAGAAATCACTAAAATAATCTTATTAGTATTGTATGGTATAAAAGTAATGATATTTGTGTAATATATTGTAAATTGTAAGGGTATTTGTAATGTTAGGTAGATAGTACAATTACTAAAAAAAAAAAAATGGATACTTTGTAAAAATGTCCCTATCAGTATAATGTAATATAAAAGTAATGATATTTGTGTAATATATTGTAAGCTGTAAGGGAGGGAGGGAGTACTTCTTCCGATCGGGTTGAGTTCGGGTTGAATTGACTTATTTCATTAGTAACACGGTATTTAATGTAATAAAGTTTAATTAGTTAATAATATTGAATTAATATATTATTTTATTAACTTTTTATAGAAGTAGTTTTTGTTGTAGTTTTAAAATAAAAAGTAATATATATGATTAAAATAAATTTAAGAATGTGTTTAAATACTTTAAGTTGTTTGGTTTATGGATTTTTTTTTTTTTTTGTGTGGGATTGAGATTTGACAAGTAGGATTTATATGTTATGGGATTTATTATATTTAGAATTTGGAATCCTACCCTGTGTTTGGTTGGTAAAATTATGTGGGACTCAAATCTTGTTTGTTTTTTATATGAGTTGAAGCAATTGGGTTTTTTATATTATAAATAACATAATTGTCCTCGTATGAATTTTATTTATTTTGATAAATTAAACCTCTAATTTATAATTAATATAAATTGAAAGATATCAATAATTTTATAGAGATGACAATATGTTCATGTAAACTCGAGACCCGACCCGGATCCGACCTATTTGTTTGAAGTTGAGTTCAATTATTTGCGTATTAGGTCTAGGTCATATTCGGGGTAATATATTAATAATATATCAACTATACATATGAAAAATAATTTATAACACTATAATTATATTTAAAATAAATTTTGAGTTTAACTTATTCATTATTTTATTATAATATGTTGGTAAAATTGCTTATAACTCTCCCATGTGGTTTCAAAATTCAGCGTAAAATTTTCCTATACTTTAAAAGTTGCATGGTACCCCCTTATACTTTAAAAAATGTTGTATGAAACCCCACCGCCATGAAACTTTCCTCGTGTGATAAGAAGATGATTTTCTATCTATATGTTTTGCATGACATGGGGGTTTTATGCAATATTTTTAAAAGTATAAGTGAGCGTCATGCAATTTTTTAAAGTAAAATGAAAATTTATGCTGAGTTTCGAAACCACAAAGTGGTTTCATGTAACATTTTTTAAAGTATAAGGGGCGTTATACAATTTTTAAAGTAGAGGGGGAATTTAAGCTGAGTTTCGAAACCACAAGGGAGTTATGTGCAATTTTGCCTAATATTTTTGTTAATAAAATACATACATTTTAATATATGTTGAGTCCATGCATAACAATTTTAAATTAAAATTTAAAAATTTTAAAAAAAAATTGAATTTTTCGGATCCCAGTCTTACCGGGTATAGTTTCAGTTGGATCCAGTATAACCGGATTCAATTTGAGTCTCGGATCTAATATTATATATTTGGGATGAATTTTAGTTCCGACTGAACCCAACTAATTGTCATCCCTAAAATTTTGTAATTCAAATAAAATTTACAATATATAATATTTTTAAACAATCAATTTATTAATTTATTTAAAAAATATTGTACCATAAAAAATAATATAAATTTACTTAGATATATAATTCAAATAATAATTAATTTAAAAATTATTTAATTTTGTTTTATATAAATATATTTATAATATATAATATTATCTTTTTATAAGAGGATATAAAAATAAAATTTAAAATTCAAAATAATGGAATTTAAAAGTAACAGGGTACTTCTGCTAAAAAAAATCCTTCATTTAATTATTTGTAGGATTTTTGACACATTTTTTAAATCCTATCATTTTAAATTCTATCCTTTTATTTTTAACCAAACATGTTCAAATCCCATAAAATCCTTGAACCAAATAGCCCTAATATTATATCTCAATAAAATATATGCAATATGTATTTCATTTTGTAGATAATATAATTTTAAATAATACAAATATTTATTCATTTATAATTAAGATAAACTAATTTTATAAAAAAAAAAAAAAGAGTTTTAAATAAACATATTTGTTTATTGAAGAGAAATATAGAAATAAAGAGGTTTTTGGTGAATTCTAAATAACACATGATATTATATGTAAGTTAATTAAATTTATTTATATTTGTTAAATATGTTTCGATTTATTAATTTTATCAAAAATAGGAATATCTCATTAAAGTGGAATAAACAATAATAAAAAAATAATAAAAAAAAAATCGATTGAAATAGGATGGAGGGAATATATATATATACATATTTTTTTTCTTGTACACTAATATGATATATGGAAGAATAGCTAGTGTACTAAGGCTAATCATTCATGTTGATTAGTCCTAATTTGTACATAAAATATCTTTATTTGGTTTCAAAATCTTATAATATGTGTTGTATAGATTTGAATATTTACAAATATATTATATATACTCCTCCGTTTCAAACATTTTGCAATATTTTTTTTCTTTTTTGTTCCAAACTTACTGCAACATTTCTAAATTTAGAAATAATTAATACTCCCTCCGTCCATTTTCTAATGTTCTATTTGATATTTACATGCATTTTTAGGCAATTAGAGTTTTTGTTATAAAATGACAAATTAACCATTAATCTTGTGTATAGAAAATGAATGAGTAAATAAAGTAAGGGTAAAAGAATAAATTTTGTGTATAAAAATAGAAAGAGGACAATAATTGTTGGACATTCCAAATAGGAAAATAGGAAAGTAGGACGTTAGTTTGTGGACGAAGGGAGTAATATTTATATACATATATTAATATATATTTCACTTTATCCTATCGCATCACTCAAATAAAATAAATAAATAATAATTTCTCTCTCCAATTACATCACTTAATATCAAAATTCTCTCTAATTACCGTACTTAATACTCCACACCTAAATTCTCGTGCCAAACACAAATATAGCACGATGTTTGGGACCGATAGAATATAATTCTTGCAATTACGTCAATAATAATATGTGATGTACAAACTATTATTGATTTCATATTATAATAATATAAATTTCGTATTGTCGATTTATATTTTATGTGTTATCCATTTAGATGTTTCGTGTATTGTCGCTACAATTGGTAGGGGTGTGCAAAAATATCGATATCCAAAATTCCAACCGAATTTGAATTTAAATCAATATTTCAAATTCGATAATTTAGTAATTCAATATTCAGATTTTCCGAATTCAAAATTCCTCAAATTGAATCGAAAATATATTTATTTAATTTTTTAATTTGGAGTTATCCAATTTCAAATTCAATTAATTGATTTTTTAAAATTATATACTTATATTTGAATCATATTATATTATTGGTTTTATATAAAATATACTAATATTTTATTTAGATATACTACTATAAATACATATATTTACTTATAGTCCAGAGTTATGTTTAATTATATTTTTATAATATTTTTTCAAAAATAAAAATTTAAATTATATATAATTTTTTTTAAAAAAATGTTGAACCCAAATGCAATTTAACTGCATTCAATTTGAATTTACTCAATTCGATAAATATTGAATTCGAATTGATTTCGGAATGGGAAATTAAAATTGAAAAATATAAATTTAAAATTGAATTTGAATGAAAATACTTTTAAAATATATATAGAAAAAAAAATTCGAATATCGGAATTAGTAGTTTTCATTTTGGATGTGCACTATTAACAATTGCTAAAAAATTAACGTTCATCACTATATATGGTGCTGATGTAACAATTTTTATTACTAATTCATCTTCTCCATTCTAAAATTTTTATTATCGTACTTTCACTTTTTTTTTTGAACTTAGTTTGCAAAATATTAAGTTTGAATACGTACTTTCGAATAGCGAAAAAAAAAAAAAAAAACCAAACCCTTCCGGTACATAAGAGAGTTTCAAATTATTTATTTATTATACTTTCTCCGTCTCATATCTATATATTTATTTGCTTTTTGCTTGGTATAAAAGAAAATTAATATTTGTTACTAAAACACCAGGATAAAAAAAATAGATAAATTATTAAGGTAGAAAAGAGTAATTAATAATTCTTATTAGCCATAATTGTTAGAGCACATTGATTAAAGAAGAAAGTTGAGAAAGGGCACTAGAACAGAACAGAACAGAACAGCACAGCAATCAATCATGTATTGGAAGAATGTTTAATTAAACATCAAATCACTTTCACGATTCAACTTTTTTGGAACACAACAGAAGCACCAACCCGCACCCCCACCCCCCTCCCGGCCACCCATTCCAATGAGCCACCATGTCCCACATACGAAATGCCAAGAACCAACCCCAAATTATTCCCCAGAAAACATTAATGGTATCGTCCTCTCCAATCGTGCCAAATGGACGATGCTCACTCTCCATCTCCCAGTTGCTTTTGTATATATATATATATATATATGATATGCAACCTTACCTACCTGCCCTTTAAGCCTTTTTCTTTACTGGGCAATCAAATCAAATCAAAATATCATATATGTATATACGTAGTGTTCATTAATCTCCGATCCGCCGTTAATGGCCGCTAATCATGTTCATGTCCACTGGGTTGTCGTCCTCCTCTCTGTCTACGTCTCCTCCGCAGTTGCTGCCAGAGTGGCGTCTCGGCACCCTTTCTGGAATGGCGCAGAAAACCCCAATATAGCTAGGGTTTTCGACACCTCCAAATTTGGGATTTTGCAGCTCGGCAATGGCCTCGCTGCCACTCCTCAGATGGGGTGGGTAGTAGTAACCAACAGCATATATATATTTATATATATGTATATCAATTCTTCCCTGCTTCTTTAGTTTTGAGAACTTAACTTAAACTCTTGGGACAGATGGAACAGCTGGAATTTCTTCAGGTGCAACATAACCGAAGATGTCATCAAAGAAACAGGTTGGTTGGTTTAATTTAATTTTCTAGTGATCGATCGATCACTGATCGACTGTGTTCATCGTCTTTGGCAGCTGATGCCCTTGTCGCCACGGGACTGGCTAGATTGGGCTACGACTATGTCAATATAGGTAGGTCACGAAACTCGATGGATCGATCGATTCTCTAATTCCCTTTTTATGTTTATGTTCTTACTCACTCACTCATTCACTAATCACTGCAGATGATTGTTGGTCCGAGCCAACAAGAAACTCGGAGGTAAACTTCCTACACACTCCTTTCTTGTAACGACAAGACAGCACTGTAATGTAATGTAATGAGAAGAGACACCCTGCTGTAGGATAAAATGGTTCCGGACATGGAAGCATTTCCATCGGGGATGAAAGCTCTTGCTGATTATGTGCACTCCAAAGGACTCAAGATTGGGATCTATTCTGATGCAGGGTCTGGGATAAGCTTCTAACACAATTTCAGATCATTCTTTGTAATCATATTGATGCTTGAATTCGGAATTTTGACAGATTATACACATGTCAGATTCGGCCCGGCTCCCTCAAGCATGAACACGATGATGCAGAGCTTTTTGCCGAATGGGTAGCTGCATTTCTTGTATTTACAATTTGTTTGGTTGTGTGAGGATTTTGTTCTGTATGTTTATAGGTTTGGTTGGTTGTTTAGGAGATTGATTACTTGAAGTATGACAATTGCTATAACATGGGGATTAAACCAGAGGAGAGGTAAGCGGCGAGATTTGGTTTTTTATTTTTTTCACGATCTTGAATCCATTGATGTGTTGGTCTTAGTATTGGAGCCGTGCTTTTCCAGGTTCCCATTGATGCGTGATGCTCTGAACAAGACCGGGAGAGCGATATTCTATTCGCTATGTGAATGGTGCTTACATTTTACTATTCAAATTTTTTTTTTCCTCAAATAACTGTTCAAATATCATATCAATTAATTATTATTATTTTTATATTATATTACAAATTTATTTTACATTCAAAACATTGCATGAACCTCTATTTATATCACATCAAACAACTGTTCAAATTCACTCAGTGATTCTCGAGGCGAAAGGATTCTTAACATGATTATTATTACGACTTTGTTTGTTAGGGGTGTGAACGATCCGGCCTTATGGGCTGACCAAATCGGGAACAGCTGGCGAACTACAGATGACATCGAAGATACATGGCAAAGGTTTGAAAAATCGCGCTAAGTTTGAGAAAATTACGATGCAATGACATAGAATGCCGTTTTCTGTTTTGCTGCAGCATGACTACGATTGCTGATATCAACAACAAGTGGGCAGCCTACGCCGGCCCTGGTGGATGGAATGGTGATAACATTGTACTAGTTTTGTGTGAACCTGTAGTAGCTACAGAATTATTACATCGAATGTCTTGTTTTGACAGATCCCGACATGTTGGAAGTAGGAAATGGGGGAATGACTTACGAAGAATACAGGGCACATTTCAGCATTTGGGCTCTCATGAAGGTATGCATTTTCGATGGGTTTATTCCAAATTTCATCAAATAACTTTGATTTCATTCGGGCAGGCGCCACTCCTGATTGGCTGCGATGTAAGAAACATGACGGCAGAGACACGCGAGATTCTCACCAACGAGGAGGTTATCGCAGTCGACCAAGGTAACAACAAACAATGATGATAGATATGAAAACAGATCTCGGGTTTTGATTATTTTATTACATCAGATCTACTTGGAGTGCAAGGCAGAAAAGTTCACACATACGGCCCCGAAAATTGCTACCAAGTAAGGCTTTTCGGATTTGGGCAGGACATGTTGCTTGTCTTCTTACTACATCGATCTCTTGTGTTTTTATTTTTTTTTCAGATTTGGGCAGGACCACTGACCGGGGAGCGAATGGCCGTGGTATTATGGAACCGATGTTCGAAACCGGCTACTATTACAGCTGAATGGGCCGTAATGGGGCTCGAACCTTCCTCCCATTTTTCTGTTAAAGATTTGTGGAAGGTGAACGCCACTCTACTGTTTATTTGGATAAAATTGCTCATAACTCTTATATGGTTTCAAAATTCAGTGTAACATATCCCTATACTTTAAAAATTACATGGTGTCTCTTTATACTTAAAAAAAACGTTTGTATAAAACGTTATATATATATATATATAAAAAAAAAAAATATATTGCATAAAACTCCACAACTCCCTTGTGTGATGAGAAGATGATTTATTATCAATATTTTTTGCATGACGGGGATTTCATGTAATATTTTTTAAAGTATAAGGGGGCACTATGCAATTTTTAAAAAGTGATGCAACAATTTTTAAAGTATAAGGGTGTCACATGCAATTTTTAAAGTAAATGAGAATTTACGCTGAGTTTTGAAATCACAGAAGGGTTTTATGCAACATTTTCTAAAGTATAAGGGGCGTCGTATAATTTTTACAGTAAAAATATAATTTACGCTGAATTTTGAAACTATAGAGGAGTTATGGGCAATTTTGTCGTTTTATTTGTAATAACTTTACATCGATCCTCGTCCAAAGTTTTTGCATATGAATTTTCATTCTTGTTTGACTGATGAATGCAGCACGAGTACACTTCTATGGATGCCACAGCCTCCATCAGCGCCCGCGTCAAATCCCATGCTTGTGAAATGTATGTTTTGGCTCCGGTTGCAGCAGCTCACTCCGCTGCCTAAATTCGACCTTTAATTTTATCTTCGAAGTTTCGAAGATGTCAAGTGAACCTTATGAGTCTTTCTAGTTGAGTAAAATTTTTGTTTTGGATTTGGAATGTCTTCTGTGATTTTAAATATGTTGCAACTTTGGAATGTTGGTGTTGTGTGATATCTAAATAAGAATTGTTGATGTTATATGATTTGAACTTTAAAATAGGGTGTCTTCTAGCAAGAATCTTTAAGAAATTTTTTACCCTTATCTATTATTCAAAAGTGCAAATTCATTAGTAAAATCATACTACAAAAAAATAAGTAGATAAAAACATTTGTCTTGCAACGTCTAATTGCAAATGTATTTGCCATACGTAAGAAGACGGATCCATGCAGACTTATTTTCTATGGATATTCTTTTAAAATAATCAATTTTGTTGCAACTTTTGATACTCTTGTACTACTGTCGAACGTAGATTTGCCCAAACAGTTTGAACAATCAATTTTGTTTATCAAAAGGCTAAAACCGAAATTGAACGTTTTGAATCAAGATTTTCATTCGATTTCAAAATTTAAAAACCATTCGTTCGGTTTGAATAGTCTATTCATGTTAAATTTGTTTTTTTTTTAATCAATTTTTTAATTTCAAGTTTTGTAATTAAAACGCACTATTTTTTTATTTCAAAATAAACATTTATTGGTTAAAAAATGTATAAAATCAGTAAATTTATAAAATAACTAGTTGAATACCCATGCTATATATGAAAAAAATAATTTTAAAAATATTTTAATATTTATTTTATAATATTAGATTTTAATGGATTGGATATTACTAATGTGGTGGAACATTAGTTGCAACTGAATATATTGTTACGACATATTACTATAAATAAAGATAAATAAAATATACAATTTATTATCGTAGAGTTCTGCAAAAAATATTTATACAATTAAAAATATTACTCTTTTATAGTTTTTGTTGCAAAATTTTGCAACGAAAATAAATTTCTTTATGTTTCGTTGCAAATATTTGCGACAATTCATTAAATAAAATAATAACAAAAGTGATTCCTAAGTTTGCAATAATTGTTTTACTTTTGTCATGAATATTTGTCACAAATATATGGATTTAAATAATAAACTATAAGTCTAAAAAAATTTTATAATTAAGAATCTATATATTTTTAACAAAATGGAGTGTTTTTCTAAGTCTAAGTTTATATAGTTTAGAGAGTCAAGTGTAATTGAAAATAAAAAGTAGGGAGTGCATTGCAAATACAAAATAAGGAGGGACTAAACCTAAATGTTTTTAAGGTCAGAGAAATTTAATTCCAAGTATCCATTTTTTTATTTCTCAATTCTATAATTTCGTTTTTTGAAATCAAAATAAATTTTGGATTGAGTGTCTACAATACGGACAATTTGATATAAATACTCAACCCATATTTTAACTTTAAATTTAGCCCATTTACATAATTGAAGAGCACTGCACTCTTACATTTATGAAAATGTTTGACATTAACTCCCTATCCTTACCAATTTTCATTTATACTCTTATCCAAACCCTAATTCTTTTTCTACCTTTTATCTCTCACACATGATTTCAATCGAGTTTGTTTATTTTCGCATGAGAGATAAACATCTTGCATTTCAGGTGGCATACTTTTTACTATGAGGCTTTATATCCGGACGGCTCTAGTATGCTTTGAAGCGACTCGGCAGACTAGGAAGCTTCACCTTCGAACGGGTATGGCCTGCTGCGGGATTCTGAAGTCTCTTTCTGTTGATGCTTCTAGCCAAGCCTCTTTCATGTTTAGGTGCTTTTGGACCCATGTTCAAAAATACTCTCCTCAAAAGGATTGAACGATTGTTTCCGCTGAGCCCATGTCCTTTTGCTCTAAGCCGTTCGTTTGCCTCAATTGTGATCACTTCTTTTGAAAATAGACCATTCTCGGTCTTCACTTTTTGGACTTCATCTCCATCCCAAAAGGGAAGAATAGAATGCCTTACTATGGAGTGCCAATGGCATACACTCGCATGCGTGAATCCAGTTTCGCCTCAAGAGGGCCGAATAGAATAGCCTACTATCGATTACCACGAAAGTTGATGATATTTTCTTTGTTCCTACCTGCACATTCACAGTGATAATACTTTTAGATTTGTAAGAAGTTCCCATGAAATCGATAATCCATACAAATGTAGGTATCAAATCATCTCTAGACTTTTCGAGCTTCCATAAAGTTCCGATTGACATCACATTCACAATGGCTCCGCCGTCAACTAGGACTCAGCCAAGCGAAAAACCATTCATCAAGGCCCGAATGTACAAAGGTTTGACATTTTGGTTTTGGCCAGGCCTGAGCCCCTTGAATTCCATCATAGTTGCAACATCATTCCATTTGGCGATAGGCTTTTCGTCAACGACAACTCCCTCTAATTCTTGAGATTCTTCCGGGGCCTTAAATAATGGTGGCATCAACCCTACTACAGATAATGCTTTTGTTTACTGTTGCTTTGAGGATTTCCCTTCGCTCGAAGGTTTATTTTTGTTTTTTTGAGCCCATTTTTGTGTGACCTTCGAAGAGGGCTCCTCAATCTGCTTTCATTTTGGAGACCGCTCATGGGCCTACTCTTTTTTTTAAGGCGGCTTATCAGCACTTTCCTTTTGGAAACGGCTGATAAGCCTACTTTCTTTTTAGAGGTGGCTCCTAAGCTTGCTCTCTTTCTAGATGTGGCTCATCAACCTGCTTTCTTTTAGGAAGTTGCTTATCAGCCTGCTGTTTTTTTTTAGGCGGCTCCTGAGCTTGACCCTGCTTTATTTCTGGAGGCGGCTCTGAGCCTGCTTTCTTTTTGGAAGTGACTCATCAAACTGCTTTCTTTTTTGAAGCGACTTATAAGCCTGTTTTCTTTTTAGAAGCGGCTCATCAATTTGCTTTCTTTTTGGAGGCGGCTCTTCGGCCTGCTTTATTTATGAAGGCGGCTCCAGTGACCCTTCCACTTCTAAACGAACCTGCAGCTTTTTTTTTTTGAGCCCGCCTCTTTTGAGTCATGTTGTGTCTCCCCATTGCCCTCCTGGTGGAATGCTTCAGCTCGTTAATAAACCATTTTTTATTATCTTTCATGACAAAAGGCTTCCGTGTCACATTGGGAATAATGGTGATCTCGTCAGCCGTGGTGATAGTCCAAACCCGTTCTCTGTTCGCAACCTTCACTTCTGCTACGGTAGCCTTGGGTTTGGATCCTTTGTATACTTGCTTCTTTTCCAATCTTAAGGCTTTTAGTCTTGGGATGGTGACAACAACACTAGGCTTCATCTTTGACCATCCTTTGTCTTGCCTCATTTGTGTTAAAACTTGAGCCTTTCCCATTTGTCATTATTGTGAAGATGGCTTTTTGGACGGGTGCCTTTGGTCCTAAACAGCCATGAACCGAAGGCCTCAATGGCTAGTTTCCAAATCTGTCTCTCTTAGGCTCATTAACAGCGGGAGCAAACCCTTTGGTCGGCCTCAAGGCCGGACAGGAATAAAGCTCTATTTTCGCTGCTTTTGCGGCCATAGCCTCTACCTCCGCAAAGCCCTATTTGTTTGAAGCCGCTAGGGCTTTTGCCCTTGCAGGCTTCATTTCTTCTAGATTTCCACTAGCCAACAGAGCCTCTGCCCACTCAGAAGCCTCTTGGTCCGAAACCGCCAGGGCCTCTGAAGAAAGCCTCTTCCTTAGCAAATTCTTTTCCGTTTAGAGCCTCTATGGCCTCTAGAGCCTTTGCTCTTGCAACTTCCTTTTCATCTGGAGCTTCCATGACCTCTGGGGTCTGCAGCCTCCAGCAGCCTGATGGCTCTAGGCTCCTGCAGCCTAGAGCCTGGGGCCTTTGCTCTTGCAACTTCCTTTTCATCTAGAGCTTCCATGACCTTTGGGGTCTGCAGCCTCCAGCAGCCTGATGGCTTTAGGCTCCTGGGGTTTGGAGGCTCTAGCTTGATCCCGCCTGCCTCAGCCTTAAGGCCTGAAGCATAGAATGTTCTGCGATCATTCCGTAACTTTTCTCAAGCGGTAAAAATGAAATTCATGTAAACCCCAACATCGTTCTTCGAAAAATCTGACTTTAATCCCACTGGGCGTGCCAATTGTTGGTTCCGAAAAATGGATTTTAGTGTGGCTCAAACATAGATTTTTCTGAAAAGGGCTTTGAGCCTTTTCTGAATATGATGCATCTTGTATCAAGCGGCGTAAGTCCCGACAGCACTCTACAAAGTATGTCCGTCTTCGGATTAGGAAGCGGCTCCGACGGTGGAGCCGTTGCACTACTACGAGCCTTAACGGCTGAATTTGAGGAATTGGACTAAAATTTATTGAAATTCGGCATAAAAACATAAATTAACATAAACTATGCTAAAATTAACAAAAGACAATGGAAATTAAGATATAATTGGATAAAACTAAAAATTTATGGATTAACTACTAGGAAATTGAAAGGATAACGTATAAGTTTGGATCAAATATGTTTTCTTGGGTGCATTATGTGGGTTGGTTATTCTTTCAAACTACTCTCCCCAAGTGGCTTCGGATATGATCTCCAATTGCTCTTCCCATGTCTCATGTCCCTTAACCACCTTTAACTTTCTCAAACTCCCCTTGGTGGTTGAGAGAGCCTAGCAGCTAGCGGCTCTATGGACTAGGAGGCTTTATATTCCGACGGCTCTGGTCTGCTTAAAAGTGGCTCGGAAGACTGGGAGGCTTCACTTTGGAAGGCTTTTTTGGCCTTCTGTGAAGCGGCTCGACAGATTAGGAGGCTTCACCTTCGGAAAGCTTTGGCCTGTTGTGGGACTCTTCTTATTATGTTTCTAGTTAAGCTTTCTTCATGTTTAGGGTGCTTTTGGACCCAGGTCCAACATAGATTTTCATCGATTATCATCATTTACGATATCGTATCAAATATTTTCCTATAATTGCCCCATCCTACCGCCCGAGACGGCTGCGGAAAGTTTCTCCCCATCGGAGAAGATAGGACCATTGAAGCACTATGGTGCTCGAATTGCAAATGTCACCGCAATTTCCATTACATGAATGAGAACGTGCATGAGGTGAGGGTTGAAAGACGGCGGCAATTAGTGTTGGCGGTGGACTTCATGCGCCAGTCAAAGTTCCGGCAGCATGCGGATTGACCGGGCGCATATGATGTATACACGCCGCTTATCGGGATGAATTTTCCGATATACAGTCTCTGAAAGACAAGGAAAAAGATGGTGCAGGAGGTAAAAATGAAAAATGGCTATAAAGTTAAGATATTATACTACTTTAAAAAAAAATTATAAATTGTATTAACTTGAATATATACGAAAAATAGATATATATATATACACATATGGCGGCGGGTACCATGCTGAATATAATTGTATTGAATAGTACACCATGTGCCAGCACGTACAACATATGGCACATACTATAGTTCTATATAATATAAAAAACAATTGATTTTTGCAAATGAATAAATAACTGATATTTTTATTATAAACAACACATACGGGATAATGCACGAATATATTATTTTTAGATTTTACATGTATTAACGGGCATGATGCTGGCTTTTCAAATTCATCACCGTACCCTCTCAATCCTCCTATGTGATAGAAGGTTTGAAGCTAAACTAATTACTAATAATACAAAATAAGTACTCACGGAAATGGCCACAGGCAAAGAATTCAAAAAGCTCAGTCAAATTAACCAACGCCAACTGTACTGCAGCAGCGATATCCAATTGTATTTGGGCGTTGTGAGTAAGGTGAAGAAGTAATTACGGTGGATAATCACTGCCTCTAATTCAGGAGCTGGGTCCGGTGGACACCAATTTATCGGTTAATTGCTCTAGAAAAGGAAATATTCTTCCAGGCTCTTCTCTGGGAGTGTCTTTATTCTCCTCTCGCAATTTTGGCTCAATTCCTGTTTGATTCATCCATGGGGAGTGTTTGGGAAAGCAGTGGAAGCGTAAGGATGCTTGGAGCAGTTATCTGTGTGTGGATGATTTCAGCGACAGCGACGGCGAGAGTGCTGCCGCTGCCTTTGCATCCTTATTTGGATGGGCCAGAAAAGCCAATTAGTAATGTTTTCGATACTACCAAGTATGGAATATTGCAGCTGAACAACGGTTTGGCCAGAACTCCTCAGATGGGGTGCGTAACTATACTATTTTAGTTTTTTGTTTTTAATTGGACTTATTTTATTCAGAGTTTTGGCTGCTTGGTTGTGGAGGAAGAAAAGAGGTTCTGGGTTTTTATTGTTGAAAAGATCTCACTATTGATTAGCCTTGGTTTGATTGATTTGATGCATATGCTTTTCAAGATTAAATGGGGATGCATTTGATTTTGATCTTTTTGATGGAGTTGATGCAATTTGTTTTTTGTAATTTAAAGACATGAAAAATGTAGTTGCCTTATACTTGGTTCGTGTTTCTGCTTTACAGATGGAATAGCTGGAACCACTTTGCTTGCAATATCAGGGAAGAGGTTATTAAAGAAACAGGTATTGCTTTTATTTTGCTGCATTTTTCCCGATTACATTGCTGTTTGTATGAATATTTGCTTTGTCGGTCGCTGCTTGGCTTCTACTAATTCACCGGTGTCGAATCTTTTGACCTGCTATAAATTACCATGCATTTGTGGTAGCTATGTTTCTCAGTAATGCCAAAGCTAAAAGTGGAATTCCTGCGGCCATTCTCAATTTGTCAACATATTGAGAATAAAAGATCTACCATTTGTATATATGTTTTTGCTGAATTTCGGAAAGCTTTGAAAATAGTAAAAAGTTAATTATTTTTTATGTTATTTTTTATGTGATGGTTTGCAAAAGGAAATAGGTATTTGATATGATATTTTTTTTAAAAAGTTTTTACTGAGAAATAGCGTCAAAACTTCCAAAAGTATGTATGCGATACTACATTTACAGAAAACATTGAAAGAAGAACATATAATTGATAAAGGAGACTGGACAATTCACCATCCTTAGAATAATTTTAAATACCAAATACAGAGCTAACCAGTTCTTTTGTTTATAATGTTGGTGGCATTATATCATAGGCATATAGTTCATTTTCCAAGTATCCATGCCCATCCAAATGTTAGTTAGTAGGCTGTTGTAATGATAAACTTCTTGTCTCCATCACATTTAGTAACTTGCAATTGAATAATACATCTGTTTATATTATTTTCCATCGTGTTAGGCAGTCTTCTTTGTGTAGGATGTGCAACAAGTAAGCTGACTATGCTATTATCCCTCTTCTTATCTGCGATTGCTACACTTCTGTAGTCTGTCTGATACATCAAGCAGTTTTTCTAACACTAGTTTGCATCTATTCTTCGATTTAAAGGACTGACACATTTGAAGCTTAGTTTTGATATTCTAATTTTGTGCCTTTTACAGCCGATGCACTTGTCTCCACTGGCTTGGCGAAGCTGGGCTACATCTATGTAAACATAGGTAATGAAGTGGCATTCTATTGTCTGTTTCATCTTGTAAATTCGGGCTTGTATTTACTCAGTGTTCTGGAATGCAGATGATTGCTGGTCTGAAGTTGTGCGGGATTCAGAGGTAAATAGGCATGGCAGCTAGTCTCTATATATAATTGTGGGTTTATTTATGGATTTCTTGATAAATGATGAATTTTGTTGAGTAAAAGGCATACCGATCTAGTGGAACTACAATTTGCATAACCAGAAACATCACCTGAACAATGTTTAGCTTTCTATTCAAGCATTGAATGCAACAAACAATATGACTGTAAGGTTCTTGATATTAAGTGCCATTAATGTGCAGGGTCAATTAGCTCCTGATTCAAGAACTTTTCCATCTGGCATTAAATTTCTTGCTGATTATGTGCATTCTAAAGGGCTGAAGCTAGGCATCTACTCGGATGCAGGGTAGTAGAAATTCCGTGTTGCGGGCTATCAGTGATCTCTATTTTGCATTTTCTTCAAGTTGCTATCCGTGATCTCTAATTTTGCATTTTCTTCTAGTTGCAACTCTCCTTTCTGATTTGTGAGTTTTGATTTCTCAGGATCTTCACATGCCAAGTTCGACCTGGTTCACTATATCATGAAAGTGATGATGCAGAACTCTTTGCATCTTGGGTTAGTTGGTGCTTCGTTCTTTATCCATCATTTTCTGTTGCCCTATTCATGCTGAATGTTGTTGCATCTCTAGTTACATGTTTTTATGGTTTATGTTGATTTTCTCCCTGGATCCTTTCCTCCATCTCAATTCAAAGTTGTGTACTCTGTGATCTGCAAGACGTTTTGTCCTTTCTTTCATCTTCTGTAACTATATTTCTTCGATAATGCATATCATCTAGGGTGTCGATTATTTGAAGTACGACAATTGTTTCAATCTCGGCATTGATCCAGAGAAGAGGTAAGTAGCTTTTTTTTTTTTTCTTAAATCTGATATCCCCGTAGCATTATCTCGCTTTAACTATGGATTCATGGTTCCAGGTATCCACCTATGCGCGAAGCCCTGAATGCAACAGGACGTCCAATATTCTATTCTCTTTGTGAATGGTAGCTCCTAAACTATCTGACTAACTCCATCCTACTTTCGTACATCGCCCTTTGCATTCTAAACACTTTTTTTGTCTTTCGACAACATTTGGCAGGGGTGTGCACGACCCAGCCTTATGGGCAGGCAAAGTTGGAAACAGTTGGCGAACAACAGACGACATTAATGATACATGGGCAAGGTTTCGTAACTTCATTGTTGATAATGGAAAACCACTTATGCTGAGTTTCAGATATATTATGATGACATGATGTTGTACTAATGTGGCTTTTATAACTTTTGTATTTTTGGGTATAGCATGACTACAATTGCTGATCTCAACGACAAGTGGGCAGCCTATGCCGGACCTGGCGGCTGGAATGGTCGGATACAACACACACCTGCACACACACTCATTGTTATGTGTATTTTATAAACAGTTGTGACCAGCAAATCAATTACATGCTTTCTATAAATATTACAAAGGTCTCTTTGATCCTGTTTGCCAGATCCGGACATGCTAGAAGTTGGCAACGGTGGCATGACTTACCAAGAATACCGTGTGCATTTCAGCATTTGGGCTCTGATGAAGGTGCCTTTAACTAGTCATTCAATATCCCTGTAACCATCTTTATAGATATATATATATATATATATGAACATTTTCTGGATCATTTTTCATTAAAATTGTTCTTGAGTTTTCAGGCTCCTCTTTTAATTGGTTGTGACGTTAGAAATATCACTTTGGAGACATTAGAAATTCTTGGCAATGAGGAGGTTATTGCTGTAAACCAAGGTATAAGATTAATCCCCTACTACTCTCTCAGCCTTAGCTGTTGAGTGTGTGAATTCCTTTTTGTGATTCTTGTTCTTGCCTTGCCCACTGCATCTTGAATTATGCTATTTTTAGTCGTGGAGCAAAGTGATACGTTGTTATGCTCACAGATCCGATTGGAGTTCAAGGAAGGAAAGTCCATGCCTATGGGCCAGACGAGTCTTATCAGGTATTCTCTATTCTTGATTCTCTTTTGCGTTAAGTGCTGGTTATTATTCCCTGTAATTTCTTGTGTAGTTTTTAATGCCTAGATGCCCGGAAACATAATCTTTGTTGTATAGACTTAACAGTGAAAATAGATGGCACAATTTTGCACCTTGTTACCTTTTTTACTTTAACTGTTGTCTACTTTACGATCATCTTTTCATAGCATTGTTTGATATTTCTTGGTAACAAACAAATTTGGCGGATCAGGTTTGGGCAGGTCCACTTAGCGGCCAACGTTTGGCAGTTGTTCTATGGAATAGAGGTTCGGAAGCAGCCATTGTCACTGTACAATGGGATGCACTTGGGCTCGAGTCTTCTACGGCGGTGTCTATCAAAGATTTGTGGAAGGTGAGTTGAAAAATGGTTCTTCCCATAGGATACTTACTGCGTTCCTTAGGATTTTGATGTCTTGAATTGTGAATTCATTGTAACAAACAATTTTGCAGCACGAAAGCATCCCGGGGAACACTGTAGATTCGTTCAGCACTCGAGTAGAGGCTCATGGGTGTGAAATGTATGTCTTCACTCCATTGACAGTAGCTCATTCTCTTCACTCAGCAACTTAACTTTGCTGAGGAAACAAACAGACGGATCCTTGGTTGAATTGCATTTGCCAAGAACATGCATTGTTTGTGTTGTATGTAACTATTCTGGTTTCCCCTTATATTGATCTTGATGTTGTTGAATTCTTGTACCATACAATAATAATTGGCAAAATTGTCCATAATTTTCTTGTGGTTACTCAACGTGAATTCTTTTTATCTTAAAAATTGTATGACATTTTCTTATATTTTAAAAATTGTTACATATGAAATCTCTGTAATTTTAAAATTTGGCGTAAATTTTTTATTTTATTATAAAAAATTGCATGACACTGCTCAGTGACTTGTGAAAATACGGAGAAGTTACGAGCAATTTTACTATAATAATTTGAAATTGTTTTAGATGAGTGTATATCATTCATGGTTAAAATAGGAAAAACAAAACAAAACAAAAAACCAGAACATCATCAAGATTCACACTGCATCAATTGAGAACATAAAATGGATAAATAAATCAAGAGTAAGGGTGTTAATGTCCGAATAAATACCAAAGCAAGAGAAGAAACTATACTTGACAAAAGGGTACATAGTCATATATATATATATATATATATAGCATATATTTCACCCAAACAGACCAAAAAGTATCTGAGATGTTTGGATTCAGTTTCTTTCTTTTGTTCACTTATCTGCCAAGGCGTAGGCGAGAGCCCATTGTGGGTCGGTAATCTTAACAAGCACTGGCCATGGACTCAATCAGTAGCTGGTATCCTTCCGGCACTGTAGCCTGCGCCCTTACACAGCCAGATAAGGCAGGGACATCGCTGTTGACGTCTAGATATTTGGAAAGGAAGAGCAGTAGGTGAAAATCAGAAATCCGTTTCACGAATGGCAGATTCCTGCTCCTGTCCAGATGGGACCTTAGTGCACCCGGCGACACTGGAATTCTTCTGTTCTCGACTGGAAATGTAGTTGCCAGAGGACCCTGCATAGGATTACGATTCAAAGGTTGAAATAAGAAGATTCCCTTGAAAGTTATATGCGACATATACAGAAAACTTAGTAGATGTGAAATAACACATAGTATACAAAGATATCATCGGATAATTAACTACCATTAAGCTGTAAAAATTAACTAGGAACTACGATAGTTTATTTGCCTCATAGTTTCTGTGTTTCCCAATGTCCATGTAAAGCAATTTCTTTTCTTTTTTTCAATTTGGATTATCGCAATGTTCAATGTAATCAGATGCATAGTGGAGAGGGTGGCTCGATTACATTAATAATCTCCAATCGTTACAGGAAACTGAAAATACAGTATCAAGGAACAAAACCTAAAAGCAATCAAAACTCAAACTAACAGAAAGCACTATTCGCAGAATAGTAGACGATAAAAGTTAAAATAAGAATAAAATACGCGCAATAAGTTATTGAAGCTGAGAAAATTGTGACAGAAATCAATGTCAATGGATGACAATAACACAATAAACAATATAATCTCGAACAATGTCCTGGATATAAAAGAATTTTCCCTCACTTCTCCTGCACCGTGAACTCAAAACTGTCACAGAACAAGCATAACTTTCACTCTCTTACAGCCACGAGACCATTTTCAACCCAATATTTATCGAAACAGAACATGAATCAGGTCTCATATCAATTGAACTGTAGGAATGAATATAGTAAGGTTCTGGAGCATCTATCTTAGAGTGAGCTTCCAAACAAACCAACAAAAGGCGCAATAGACTGGTCAATTAAAGCATTAAAGCATGAAAATTTCGGGATTTTAACTATGTTCACAGGAAAGACACATACAAGTTCAACAAAGAAGAACAGAGAAGAGTTGCGATTTATGTACTAGCATCCTAATCAATGCTAAATTCTCTCCAACCATCTAAATCATTGCTTTTAGTTCCACCTACAGCTGTCAAACTCAGATAGCAGTGAATGATGGTTGAATCCTAAAACGTTATGGTGGGATTACAAAGAGCGGAAGCCTGCTATTTGAAAACTTAAATATACATACATATAAATGATTTTATATGCAAAATCACAATCAAATTTATATGTAATGTTTATAATTAATCTTACAGCTATCATTTCAACTAATACATAAATTCTTATGCTACACAAAACAAGATATCAAAATATACGATCATATACAACTTGTATAAACAAAAACAGTTGAATAAATACTACTTAGATAAATAAAGAATCAAAGTTAATCCACTTCTAAATCTACTGGATATTTTAACTTCATCATTTTCGCTCATCCCATTGCCACTCTCGAGAAATAATAGCTACGTCATCACTCCAACTCACCCCGCCCCACAAGAATGGAAAGCATATGTTCTAACTAAATAAACTCCGACAACTCAGGCCCAATATGTTCTTGCATCACAAGACAAGTTAAATTACCGATACGAAATCTATAGAATCCAGATAATCAAGAGAACCAATATTCATCGAATCAAATAATGCGAAAAAAGACAAATCACAACAGAATTGTCTTGCTAACCTGGTGATCGAAGATCTTGACAACCACCAGAAAGAAATCATTGTCCACACTCGTAACATCCTTCCCCCCAACCACCACATCTTTCTTCATCCTCGACAGCTTCGGATCAATCTCCCCTTTCACCTCAGTCTCAAACCACCCTTCTTTAAACAACCTAACACACATATCACTCATCTGAAAAGCCTCAAAATGCACATCTGCTCCACCATCCTCATTCACCTCAAGCTTCACCACAGCTGTAACCCACTCTTTCAAATCCCCCTCGGCGTGCAACTCCACGGCCTGCAAAACCTCAGCATTCGACATTGTGTAATCCTTCTTGTCCTGGCTAATAGTCTGGGTAAATATAAACCCCACCTTCCTCATTTGCAGCCCCAGTGCTATAGCCTCAACAAACTTCTCTTCTTCAGGATCCCTTAGAAGTATCAAATTATCCTCTGTCCCCTGCTGAGGAGGCTCATAGATAAAATCCACCTCCACCTTCCCTTCCTCCGACACCGTCCCGTACATAAATCCGCCGCGCTTCACAGCAAAAGCTAAACTTTCATTCACATAGTGCTGGAACGCGTTCGCAGCATCTCGATCGAACGACACGAGCTCACAATGCGGATTCTCCTGCCGCGTAATCCTCATTTGCTTCGCAATCAAGTCGTCCATAGTCATCTTCTTCCCGAAGGATCCCGATGGGTGAAAAGCCGGCCCGGCGACAGTGCGCTCGCCCTCGTAAGCTAAGAACACGATCGAACCGTGGGATATACCCAGTGCGGAAACCCTAGCGTTGGGATCGAGCATGTCTGTGAACTTGTTCAAATCGCCTGGGGCTTTCGCCAGGAGCAGATTCTGGTTAGTTGAAAGGATTTGGGCGTGGACGGGAACTCGGAGCTGCGACTCGATCGCGAACTTGAGTTCGGCGACGGTGGCGGCCGGATTGTCGACCGAAACCCGCTCCAAACCGTCGCGGCTTCGGATTCTGATCATCATATTCGCCCACTGTACAAACCCCAATCCGATCGTTCCAGAAAACCAACAAACAGTTGGTATAGGAAGATTGTGGCCAAAAGTTGAGTTGTGCAAACAACTACGAATCGATCAAATAAGCAAATTAATCAACCTGCAAGAAGATTAATGCGATTCTTCGGAAGGGATTGCAAGAAAGTTAGATTGGGGAGTAAGAAAAGATTTTGGAATGGCGAAATATATCAAACAAGCAAATAAACAGGGTCACGATTAGCCTCCTTTTATAGTTATTTATATTGGGCTGGGCTGGGCTGGCTATTGCCCTAACAGTATCTCCAGCATCCAATCCCCAATTATTTAGCTGATTTTTCACTAAAACGTATCAAATTTGGGTCTGATTTGATATCGGGTCAGATTATGATTCCAAGTTCCATTTTTTATATTTGTTTGATTAATCGTTATATTATAATGTGATGTATATGTTTGATTGAAAAATCTATCTAATATATATATTAATTATTTTAAAAACGATTTATTCGTATTTAATATATATATATATATTATTTTTTTATCAACATCCTTTATGTAATTTTTTTTAATATTAAAAACATTATCATTTTTAAATTTTTCTCAACAAATTTTACATAATTTTATGGAATAGAGAATTATTTTTAATATTTTTTATTAAATAAATATATTACTTTTTATGCTCTAATTCAATGTATTTTTCAATTTTTTTTCTTATAAATAGATTGAAAAATAATACTCCCTCCGTCCATAGATAAAGTATACATTTACTCTTGACGCAGTGTTTAAGAAATAATAGTATTTTAATTATAGTGGATAGTTAAAAGTAGTGTAATGACATTTTTGCTCTTACTTTTTGATATAAAAGTAATGATGTGATGTAAAGTAAGAGTATTTGTGGAAAAAAGTGAGGTATTTAATGAAATATTTACTTTTAATTGGACATCCCAAAATAGAAATGTATATACTTTCTAGCTGAACTGAAGGAGTATTACTTTGTCTTTTGCGTGTCATTGTACTTTACCTTGAAAATATTCTTATATTTATATAATTTACTCCATAAATGTCACTGTATTAAGAGACTAATAGAAATATTTTTATAATTTTTGATATAATAATTAATATTCAAAGTGAAAATATGTAAAATATTCTTAATACTTTTACACCTAAAGAATATGATATTTTTACAAAAAAAAATTAGAAATATTTTAAATTTGTCTATGGATTGCTTTTATTATATAAAAAAAAAAATTTTAAATGACATATAAAAATAAAAAAAAAAAATATACGAGTTACACTATTTATTTATTTTTCTCACATTTATCGAAATGGATGAGCAAAAAGGTGAAAATAGTAAAATTAATTGTTAAGGGTGAATTAATCATTACGGGTTTGAGATTTGGGTCTTGAGGGCGAAAATACTACATTTTATTTTTTTTAAAAGAAATAGGTACCGACTTTGGCGCCTTAATATTTTATTGAAAAAAATTAAAATTAAACACATAAAATGGCACCTACGTGAAAAAAATTATTATTATTATTATTATCTAAAAATAATAAAATTCTATATTCTACGTCAAAAAAATTTTCTTTTCTGCACATTTTAGTGTGAATTTTGGTTATCATTACCGTCGGCGCCATGCCACGCCTTCTTATCCGCACCGAATGCCCCTTTTTTGGGGTAGTGAATATATAATCAAGATTTGTGATAGATTTGTTTTGAGTCTAAGATTGCAAAGATAGTGACAACTATAAATTTATAAATAAGTTGTCAGGGCTGATGTTTGAAAACACATCATAATACTAGTAATCGACGGAAAATTAGATCACTCCGACTTAGCATTAATTCCTCATCCGGCTTAGGATTCTTGTGGTAAACCAGTCCAATAGTGTGAATAACACGAGGAGCTGATAATCGAAAGCCTCTATGTCTACTATTCGACATATTAGCAAAATAAGAAGAATGAAATTATTTAACCAAATTAAAGAACACATAAGGTGTGATATTTGCTTCTCATGTACTTAAAAAAAAAAGTTATAAATAGTTGCTAGTGTTTGTTACAGATATTATTTTATGGTGTGACGACTTTAATGGTTGGATAGTTCTTTCAAATCATGTTGGACATATTGTTCAAATACAATAATTTCACCTTATGTTTTACCACATATAACAAAATTTTCACATATGTAACAAGATCAAAAAAAAAAAAAAAAAAAATCCATCTTTTGCAACGAAAATAAATTATATATAAAAAGATTATATCTCAACATTGTACATGAAATCAAGAACTCTCATCTTTCACATGAATCATCAGGTCGTGACCGTTCCATTCAAATTTTAAACTCAAACACTATTTGAAAAAGATACTTAGTTTAAGTCGCATGCAACAAAAATACTCACTTAAAATATCTCCATACTTCTACGTCACATTACTTTTTTTCATATCATATTATATCTCTTCCAATTAAACAATATATATATATTTATATTTATATTTATATTTATATTCATATTCATATTCGAATTACTTATTTTTAAAATTAAAAAACTAAAAAAATGTATCAATATATATATCATTACTTAAAAAATAAAATTTTATACAATATAAAAATATTAAAATAATTAAAATATAAATATAAATATTATAAAATTAAATAAAACAAAACAAAAAATAAAAATCTATAAGTATCTCTTCAAATTTTCTTTTATTTTATTTAAAATTCAAAATACTGACATGATATTTGACAACGCATGCCCTTAGAGCATATACAACGACACATAAATAGGACTTCTCATCTGTCTCGAACCTTTTCTTATTCCCTTCGAAAAATCTCATCCCCACTGATCTAAATTTCAACCATAAATTTTCGATTAAAAATCGAGTCAGTCCTCGTGCAGGCGACGGCATCATCGACGGTATCGTTTCTCTCTTCTCTCTTCTTTGCCCTTCTCTCTCCCCATCTCTCTTCTTTGCCCTTCTCTCTCTCTCCCCCCCAATTGCAGACTTTGGTGTTCTCTTCTCCCCAAACCCTTTTATATTCCCGTCGCCGACGATCGATTGAATACAGATTGTCCGTCGCCCACCTTCTTCAGATGCAATCACCCGTTCGATTGGGATTAATCGTCGCCCACCTTCTTCAGATGCAATCGCCGGTTCGATTGGGATGAATCGCCGGTTTGATTGGGACGAAGGTTTTGGCAAAGATTGGGAGATCGATAGGGTACAGGTTCTCCGTCGCCAACTTCCTTCAAACGCCGGCAATCGCAGGTTTGATTGGGATGAATCGCCGGTTGGGATGAAAGATTTGGGGACAATTGGGTGTGAATATTGTGTGCGAGGAATATTGCGAGAAAGAATTACGAAGGACCGAAAAAAAGAGCTACTGTGTTTGTTTGGAAAATGAAAATCGATACATAAAACATTATAATTGACACGTAGGATACACGTAAGCAAATGGAGGGTTTTAACTTTCACACCGGTGTATGTGCTCTTAGGTGTGAGCACGTACTTTTATAAATTAATCTCTTCTTTCACTATAAGCTTTTGCAAAGTGATGATTGTAGCTTTACTAAGCATGCAATCCAACGTGTCTGCCGCACCGATCTTTCTTTAGTTCTCAATTTATTAAATGTACTAGTTACCGTAATTACTCTCTAAATTTATATTATATTAAATAAAATATTATTATTTATATATTATACAATATTAATAAAAATATTTTCATTTTTTTCATTATAATCCATTATAATGCTAATATTAAAAAATCTAAGTGAAGAAAATAAATCAAAATAATCTAACAAATACGTACGAAGACAAACTGAAAATACTGCTTTAACGAAATAGCGAAAAAAAATTAGGTCAGAGTAATTACAATAGCATCGGAGGAGACGCCGGCGGACTACCGATTGGTATCCATCCCCTCTCTGAACCTCGAAAACACTCGACGGCGACAACCGGAACACCGCCGCCCGCCGCTCGTTCCATTGATAACAGACGAAACACAACCAGAACAGCCTTAAATTGCCTGCGAAGTTCCATCTGAAAGAAAGCAGGATTAAGTGCTCGAAGTCGCCTCAAAATTTGACTGATTTCGATCTGGAATCGAATATATATACTAAGTACCGAATACGAAATACCGTGCGGTAGAGTCGGTGCGGTTAATACAGTTCGAGTTAATTACGAAAAAGTGCAAATATATTACAATGTTCAATTACACAAACTTAGTGGCTTCTTTAAATTTGCTCACCACCACCAGAAACCAATAAAATCAAACAAGAACCAACCCTGTAACTTCAACACATTGTGAAGAAGATGACCACAATACAATACAATACAATACATACATACATACATATATATATATATAAATAATTTAGATTTCCCATTTAGGCCCAAGCGGGTGCGAACTCTTTCACCACAGCTCCAAAAATTTGCAGAAAAACGTACGAAGAATCCAAATTTGATCGGGAAGATGAGATAGATGCTCTTAGTCCTTAAAACTGTCCTCCTTCAAATGTTTGTCCGAAATGCCAACCGGCGGGTGCCGCATTGTAGCTGGCGACTGTCCGGCCGTCGCTGGCGGTGACCTGAAACGACAAGCTTTGTCCGTTAAGTAGCGAGTTACTCTGCCAATTCTGCCCCCAATTTCTCGACATCGGCTGCCATCCCGTTCTCGATCCTTTAATCGACACGGCGTGGACGTCGCCTGCCCCGCCGACATTGGTCACCAGGACTAAATTGAAGTAGGAGTGGCCGTTGATCGTAAACCTTATGCCGCCCTTCTTCCGGCACGGCACTCGTCGGAAAGAGACCGGAACGATTCCAGCTCTGTATTGCGCGATTTGCAAGAAGGCCGGCTCTGCCAGGTCGAAGTGCTGCCGGGGCGGGTTGCACCACCCGCCGTTGTCGTTGGGCAGGGAGGGGTTGGGCGGGCAGAAATTGGTGGCGGTGACGGTGATGGTGCCGGCGAGGCACCACCGCGGGTCGCTCGAGCAGGTCAGCTCGTAGCAGGCCCCGCATGTCAACCCGTTGTTGAATAGAGCGGTACTTAGCGCTGCTGTGTTTGTACCGTAGCCTTGACTGTATAAGTTACCGTAGCCACAGGCACCTCCTGCGTGCATTCATACAAAATTTCGAAGTAATTAATTAAGAGTGTTTCTTTTGGTTGAATTTGAAAAAAAATTGATTTTGGTTTGGTATTAAAATAATATTTGATATGATGTTATGTGAGAAAAAAAATTGTATTTTTTTCAAAAAACTAGAGTCTAAATAGTAAAATTTGGGAAACTTACTATTTTATTTTTTACACTAAATATTACTAATTCTGTACTATTCTCAAATAAAACAAAACTTTCAAAAGTCTTTTGTTACTTTCAAATAAGGCAAAATTGTCCATTATTTTTCGTTATGATTTCGAAACTCAACGTAAATTCTCTTTTACTTTAAAAATTGTATTACGTCTTTTTATACTTTCAAAAATATTGTATTAAACTCCTACATAGTTTCGAAACTCAGCGTAAATTCCCTTTTATTTTAAAAATTGCATGACATTGGCTCCTTATACTTTCAAAAATATTGTATTAAACCCCTACATGGTTTCGAAATTCAGCGTAATTTTCCCCCTTACTTTAAAAATTGCATGACACCTCCTTATACTTTAAAAAACGTTGGATAAAACTCCTCGTCATGCAAAAAAAATATAGATAGAAAATCATCTTCTCATCACGCAAGCGAGGTTTCATGATCGTGGGGTTTCATGCAACGCTTTTTAAAGTATAAGGGGGCGCCATGCAATTGAAACTGAATTTCAAAACTACGGAAAAATTAGGAGCAATTTCACCTTCAAATATTATGTATGAAATGTATCTTTCGAGTCATGGTCAGGTGAAAATGACCATGCCAGATAAAAAAAGAAAAAGAAGAAGAAGAAAGTACCCATTGTGCCGGAAGCATCACCGCCTCCATAAAAAGTTGCGTGAGCGCTCTCCCAACCGCCGTAATCGGCATAAGCCCTCTTGAGCAAGAAGACCGTTAGTAGTAGTAGTAGTAGTAGTAGAGAATTTTTGGGAATGAGAATGGCTTCCATTAGAGAGATTAATGTACGTATAGGTAGTAAAGGATTTGTAGCTTTGAGACTTGGTTAGTTGGTTGGTGCAAAATGGGAAGAAATAATAAGGCTTATTTATAGATAGGAAATTTATATGCATTAATTGGCTATGGAGTGGAAATACAAGTTTAGAAAGTGAAATATTAACAAGAATCAATCAATGCATTCATACGTATATGGTTTGGTTTGATTCTTATGTTCAAAATCAATTTGTCAATATTGTCGTAATTGTTTAGATTGTAAATTACAAGTTTGTATAGCATACAAAGACCAAGGGATATCGAGGATTTGAATGCATAATTTCACCGTTATAAATTCACTCCTTACGACTCGATCATTTGTTATGGGATTATGTGATTTAATATTATTTACAATTGTCTTTTTTTTAAAAAAAAAATGCAAAAATCGAGATAAAATGTACAAAATTAATTAATAATAATTCCAATAGGATAAAACTTCATTTTCATATTGTGGGCAAAATTCAATTTATTAGTTGATCATATACATTTGAGTAAGATAATTTCATATATATATATATATATATTAAATATATAAACGAAATGTGTGTATGGTATGTAAGAGTTTGAGGAAGAGAAGAATGGCCACAAGTGTTGCACATGCAATTGCTCCAATATGAACTATCAACTGCCAATCTAAATGGTCCTACCCACATGCACTACTTCTCACAACTATATATATATATATATATAGAGAGAGAGAGAGAGAGAGAGAGAGAGAGAGAGAGATTTTGCACAAAAACTATAGTGTGTTTTTATTTTAGTTTGTTTGATTGTAGTTTGAAATTAATTTAAAATACTATATATCGTTCGGTTATAAAGATTTTATTTACTTTTTTGCATGTTGATTTTTGAATATTAATTATTATATAAAAACAAAGTACAAATAAAGAGAAAATGACAAAAATACTTCTATTAGTGTCTTATAAGGATATTTTTATTGAAAATTGTGTTAAGTGAATAATGTTAATTTTGATTTCAAATGGTAAAAAAAAAAAAAAAAAAAAAAAAAAAAAAAAGACAAAAACCAGTAATGTTGTATATTTGTAATGTTGTGAGTAATATTATATGTAAGATTTGCCACAATTTGTGGTTGGTTGATATGTGAAGGACAAGGAACTATTAAATATAATAATTTGGAATATAACTATATAACTATGTATCCTACACATAATATTTAATATTTTATATTAATTTTTTTGAGTTATTATTATTATAAACAGTTATTTTTTCTAATAAAATATTACATTCTAACCATCATTCAAATAAAGATTTGGCAATTAAATCTCTTGAAACTAACCTCAGCTTAATTTCAAATTAGGTCTTTGATTCTCCATACTAGGAAATATTTGAAAAGTGTCGTCTCTATTTTCTAAATAATAATAATAACAAAGCTTACAATCACGGACGACCAAATTAAATAAGTGATAATATCACATGTTCTCCGTCTTATAAAATTATACTCAATTTTTTTTTGGAGATAGGGATTAAGGGCGTGTTTGGCAGCTGATAGCTGTTAGGTGTTAGCTGATTCAATTAGCTGATAGCTGTTAGTTGATTCAATTAGTTGGTTTGACTAGCTGATTCGATTAGCTGTTTGTATTAAAATGTTTGGTAAAACAACTGTTTGATATTAGCTGTTTATACGTAAAATGACAATTGAGGACATTTCTATTTTATTTTTGTTTCTAATATATTCAATTATGTTCTTTTGAGCTTAGAATGTTTAAAATTTTTTGTTATTAGTTATTGAAAATTGTAAAAGTGTTATAAAAGTATTTATTTTATTAGAGTTAGATTTTAAAAAATAATATATTTTTATTAAAATATATAAATAGTTTTTTCTATTGAAAATTATATAAAATATAAAATAATAAATTTTTCGTGTATATATTTATTATGTTAGTTATAGATTAGTTCATTATATTTATAATTTTCAATAAATTTAATTTATTTAATTTATTTTTAGTATAAAATTTATATAATGTAATTTTAATATAAAAATAAATTATTAATATTTATATTTTATGTTGATTTTAATAAATTTATATATTTTACAATTAAAATAATTTTTATATATAAATTAATTATTTTAAATTTATAAAAGTAAAACTATATTATAATAAAAGATTCTAATATAATCAAAAATATATTTATTTGTGTAAAATGCATAATAAATTTTTAAGGGCATATAAGGAATAATTTTTTTTTTTTATAAAAAAAACTATTTCAAAACGCTGGGTAAGTTAGTTTTTCAGAAATTAGCTTTCTGAGTCCAAAAAGCTATTCCAAAAAGCTAATTTACCAAACACCTAAATTAACTTTTTAACTGGTCAAACAGCTAAAAGCTGTTCAATAAGCTAAAAGCTCTTCAAAAAGCTATTTGCCAAACACCCCCTAAACAAATTAGGGTAAACGGCTTTTTTAATCTCGTAACTGGACTCCCTTATCATTTTAGTCTCGTAAGTAGAGGTTGTCGCAAATTAGTCCCATAAGTGAAAATTTTTCGCTGTTTTAGTCCTCCGGCGCCGGAGACGCCCGCGTGGCTCGCCAGAGGCTACCTGTCCGCCAGGTCAGCGACACCTGGCGGACACGTGGATTTTATTATTATTTTTTTATTTTTTTAAAAATTTATTTTTAATTTTATTTGCTTTTTTTTAATTTTTTTTATTTGGTCCAATTGAAAAAAAACTTAAAAAATAAAATAAAATCCACGTGTCCGCCAGGTGTCGCTGACCTGGCGGGACACCTGGCGGACACGTGGCTTCCGGAGAGCCATGCGGGCGTCTCCGGTGCTGGAGGACTAACACAACGAAAATTTATGGAACTAGTTTACGACAGATTCCACTTACGAGACTAAAATGATAAGGGTCCAGTTACGAAAAAAAAAACAATTTACCCAAAAAAAAAATTAATAATAATGATAATAATAGTTTAATAGTGTGTGTATTTTTTTAAAGGTAGATTTTAAATTTTATAGTATTAGTAATGTAATTTTTGCTTAAAGTAGAATGTGTATAAGAAATATGGGCGATCTATTAGCAACATTTGTATAACTAGATGGAAAAATAGTGTGTATAGATTTAAGAAAAAATTTATTTTTCTAATAAATATAATAGCATAGTTTTGATAGACAAACTAAAATTATAAAATGAATAATCTTTTATGGGAAAAAAAGAGTATACAATATATAAATAGGAACTCACTACAATATTTCATTAAGGCACTCATCTCTATAGGACATTAGATAATTTCTTTATTTATTACTTTTGTCTTAAACAAGGGTGTGTTTATTTTGTATTTTTTTATAGATGTATTTTTGTTTTTACATTGGATTATAAGAACAAAAATAAATAAATAAATAATATATATATTATACTTCCTTCATCCGTCTGGTCAAATTTATCTTTTGCGCTATTGTACTTAACATTAAAAATATCTTTATATTTATATAATTTTTTATACAAATGTCATTCTATTCGTATTATAAGATATTCCAAAAAGTAAAAAAGACTCTTAGAGTCAGACGGATGTAGTATTAAAATATATGTGTTGTACTAATTTTATGATATTTACTGAGAATCATATCACATGAAAATAGGTTGAGTGAACAAACCTTGAGTAGTTATTTATTTATTTTTTATTATTATTATTATTATTTCACCACAGTAATTTTCCATACGGATTTCAATCATTAATAAATTTTAAAGCAATTAATAATGTGATGTAACCATAGAACTAATAATTCACTAAAATTAATATTAGTAAAGAAATTAGTAGATATGCAATACACTTTTAAGGACCCTACCATGTGTTAGAGCACATGGAATTCCCTAAGGCAAAATAATAATAATGATAATAATAAAAATAGTACAATAAAAATAAAGGGCCCTTTGCAACATTTATATATCATTATCACAATTTGTACTGGTCACAAGCAATATTAAATGTACAAACAATTACCAGTCATCACAAAAAATAAAATAAAAATAAACACACACATAAATTAATTATTATTGAATTATATGGACATCAGCAGGATATCATAAAATTTGTCACTTATTATGGGCAAATATGATTGGATGGTGAAGCATGAGATTCAGTTGCCATTTTATAATCAAGATAATTTATATTTGTTTGATTTTGGCTCCATTTAGAAAATAGAATTTTGGGGCTGATTATAGTATTGCAAGATTATATCAATAATTGAAATTTGAGCAATGGATTAAAAAGTAATTATATATATTATATTAATTATAGAAACATGTAATTATAAATTCTTTCTAATTATTATGATTTATATAATAAATAAATGTATGGAGAATAGCCAATAAAAATAAAAATAAAAATAAAAATACAAAAACATAATACAAATATGTTAATAGCATTTCAGACATCTATATATGTATATATATATCATAATATAAGTCTACTCTATAATATATTTTTAAGAAAAATCTATTTTCTACAAAAATAGTTTCAGTATAAACACTAACAAAAATTATTGACTAAAAAAAAAAATCAATAAAAAAATTCATTGTACCTCTCATTTCTCCTAGTTTTAGCTTAGACTTTTCCACGAATAATTCTATCTTCTGTTTAAACAAATTCACTATACATTTCATTTTTCCTAGTCCTGCTTTTTCACGAGTAACTTCGTCTTCTTTTTAAGCTATATTGAACAACAGTGAAAACTTCAATTTCATGCGTGAATCACTCAATTGTATAGGGAATTAGAGATGGGATGATCCAGCATTCGAATTGCAACGAGTGGTGGAGGAAGTCAATTTTGCAACTGTATTTTACTTTACGGATTAGAACGAAAATTGAAATAAGGGTTAGAACTATTTTTTCCATGGCGATAAAGACGGCAATAGCAAAGATGCCGATGACAATGGCAACGGGCGATTGTTGCGAATGACCAAGGAAGAAATTACAGATCACCACCGGAAGAAGAGAAGAGAAGTGAATATTTTGTGAAATAATAGTAATTCTAATAATTAGGATTTTAAAATATTAATATATACTATATATATAT